CAAGATTCCTTGCCGCATCTCTCTCCCTCTCTCTCTCTCTCTCTCTCTCTCTGTGTGTGTGTGTGTGTGTCTGTCTAATCTGCCGTCGCTGCTCGACTCCATGTGAATGCCCGAGCAATTCCCGTATGGCGCCTTTGCCTTCAGTGATGAGGTTTTTGCTGCGACCTGCGCGCACGCATGCACGTATGCAGGCATGCACGCATGTATGTATTTATGCACGCATATGCCCGTATGCGTATGCGTCTGCTTCGTTCCCGGGTGCGTGCCTCCCGAACTGCATACACGCACAGCACAGCGCAGCACACCACAGCGCAGCACTCGCTTCGGGCCAACGCTTGCTTGGCACAACCTGCCCCTTCCCGCGTTCCCGCGCAGGCAGTCACGCCTCAAGGCCGGCCATACGCAGCCGCAGCCACAGCCACAGCCACAATCACAGCGACAGCGACAGCGACAGTCACGTCTTCATCTTCCCTTGCGGAGCACTTGAACTCGCACTCACGACCCCCGTAAAGTCGAGGCAAGTGTAGTGCGAAAGGTGATCAATGCAAATTCATTGCTTGAATGAATGGTCGGTCTGCGTCGATGCAGCAGCAGCAGCAGCTGTGGGCGTCCTCGCTACACTTACTACTGCTACTACTACTACTACTACTACTACTTACTGCACACGTACACGTACATGTACATGCTGCTTACCTTGCAGCTTCATCTTTGCCACAGCAAGACACGCGCGATAAGGCATCGATCGGGTGATCCACGAATCAGAATCAGAATTTGATCGAGCAGGTGCAGGTGCAGGTGCAGGTGCAGCTCAACGCCAAGCTACCGTTGCGAGCTGAGACCAAACAAATCGACTGTGACTGAAAGCAGCGGCCGCATCAGTGCATCAGTGCATCAGTGCAGCAGTGCAGGCAGCAGGCAGCAGGCAGCAGGCAGCAGGCAGCAACGACCGTGACGCGCAAATCGTATTGGCGATGGCTCGTGATCAAGTGGTTTGGATGGGGGCGAGTGGTGGTGAGGTGAGCAGCACATCGAGAGCGAGCGACCTTGCGTCATATCAGGCAATTGCCACGCGTCCGCGGTGCTCAAATGTGTGAATGCATGCAGGGCACTCGCAGCCGCTGGCAGCCGCTGGCAGTAGTCGAGTCGTGAATCGAATGAGTCTGCCCGCGTCGCAGAAGCTTGACCGTGCAGGACGTCGCTCCAAGTTGAGACTGCATCACACTTCTCGTCACGACGCGAGCGAAACGTCGAGCGTCTGGCGAGCGCAGCCTCCGCTGTCATTGCAGAGGACAAGAATGTCATTGACATTTACATCTGCAGATAGCAAGGATGAGCCTCGACAAGAGGCATTCGATCGCGCATTTGCAAGCCACAATGCCAGCGTTCCTTCCACGCGCCGCGGTCTCGGTGTCCAAGCCGCCATCCTGTTCCCCGAGCCCAGCAAAGGCAGCGGGTACCAAAGTGGCTGAACGCTGTGCTTGCAGTGTCGCTGCGGTAGAGCAGTCGCAATTTTACTAGAATCAGAATGAAATGAATCCGGATCATTAGAGGCGGGCAGGGACTTGCACGCGCGACTATTCATATCCTCCAGTCACGCTAGACACAAAGCGCTAGAGCCCTTGTGATCGGCTTATCGAGGATTGAATGGACAATGTTCATCTCGGATTACAGTAGCTGAGTCCATTTGTGGCTTACACTGTCGTTCCCGCCGTAAGCAGTCTACCATCCTGGCAACAAAGGGCAAAGCTTTTGACTTTGGGAACCAAGCTGGGTAGCGCCACAACAAGAATGCAGCCAGCCTCGCCTCCTTTCAGCCACAATGAGGCCCCTGCTTCTCGCTTCCCGTGTCGCAGCTCCCCGATCCATTGGAGATCCACATCGAGGCCTCGATGGGTTGCTGTCCCGTTCAGCTTGAGTGGAGCAAGACTTTGCAACGCGTAGCTGCATCTTCCGCAACGACTCAGCACCACGACCACAGGTTGGGATCGATCGATGGGAAAATAACACGCCCTGAACGCGATGCTAGCAGTGGCAGGGGCGCGCATCGTCTCCACTCACCCATCTTGCTTGTCCGACTCGGTCTGCTACCCGCGACTGCCATTGCGGGTTCTCATCGCGATTCGATTCGTCTGCCGCGGACGCGCGAGTCTCGCCATTCTTCGCATACTGCACCACGCCCATTGCACTACAATGCCGTGCTTCTCACTCTTCAACCCGCTTACCGAGTGAACATTTAAAGAGAACACTGCGATACTGAAGACCATCTGACCACCCATTCCCTCCTCAAGACACGCCTTCTTACCTCGGAGCTTGCCAATCTCTTCACCTCCTTCGCCCCCCCCCGCCATGCCTCACTTCTTCGAAAGCTCTTCGGCTAGCCTGGAGCCTATCCAGTCCATCTGTTGCAGTGAGTACGAGCCGCGGTATTGACGGGCAGCTTCCCAAGGCTCACTCGCTCGCTGTGAAACCTTGATCATTGTGCCGCCCTGAAGTTGGTGCCGGCTACGTAGGGGGTCCCACGTGCGCTGTGCTCGCCTGGAAATGTCCAGACATTCGAGTCACCATTGTCGACATTTCTCAGGAGCGCATCGATGCGTGGAACAGCGATGACCTTCCCATCTTTGAGCCCGGGCTCGAGGAGATCGTCAAAGCTTGTCGCGGTAGAAACCTCTTCTTCTCCACTGACATAGACGCGGCCATCGGTGAGTCTCTGCGCGCAGACCACGCTCCATTCACCGTACTCCGCTGTGTCGCTGACCTAAGCGGCTTGACATTGCGCGCAGTGGCCGCGGATCTCATCTTTGTCAGCGTCAACATGCCAACCAAGACCAAGGGCGTGGGTGCGGGCTGCGCTGCCGATCTGCAGTACGTGGAAGCAGCCACTCGACGCATCGCGCTGCTCTCGACGAGAAGCAAGATCATCATCGAAAAGTCAACTGTACCTTGTCGCACGGCCGAGTCCATGCGCGCCATTTTAGACGCTACTTCCCCGCAACCGGGTGTGCACTTTGACATTCTCTCCGATCCCGAATTTTTGGCCGAGGGCACGGCGGTGCAAGATCTGCTCAAGCCCGACCGCATCCTCATCGGAGCGCTGGCCACCGAGAGCGGCAAGATTGCGCAAGAGCGCTTGGCCAACGTGTATGCTACCTGGGTGGACAGGAACGCCATCATCACCACCGGTCTTTGGTCTAGCGAGCTGACCAAGCTGGCTGCCAATGCGCTGCTCGCACAGCGCGTCTCGAGCATCAATTTGCTCGCCGCCATCTGCGAAAAGACTGGCGCAGACATCGACGAGGTTGCGCGTGGATGCGGCAAAGACTCGCGCCTCGGTCCACACTTTCTCAAAGCTGGTCTGGGTTTCGGAGGAAGTTGCTTTCAAAAGGCGAGCAGCGAGACTGTGCTCCAGCG